TCTGTGTCCAACATGACTAGTTCACATCCAGCTGGACATTAGTATCCATCCTGGGTGGCCTAAAGGGCCAGTTGACATCGAGATACTTTAGCTGATGATTTTATCGGTCAGGAGTCCTTTAGATGGTCTTGGATTTGATTGTAGTGTTACCGCCCCACCTACCTGTCTCAGGTTCTGCCCAATATTCAAAGTGCAAGGAGTTGTTTAGTAAGTAACTTGAACCACTTTTGGCAACCCTACTTACCTATTAAAACGTAAAATCTTATGGCACAGATGGTGAAGGGGGGTGCGTGTAACACTCAATCGCACCATTACACTTTTTGAAACACATAGATCCGAAGAAAAATTATATAAGCTTATTGAAATAGATATTCCACTTATTTATACTAATGCTACCAGAAATATGGAAATAAAAATCTTAAGTTAATAAAAACTTATTTCATTATTTTTTTTGCTTACATGAAAAGATAAGCTCACTGTTCGTCTTTTGAAATGTTGTTTCCAGAACCATAGTAACATGAAATCTGATATAATATAAAATAGCAGTGTATTCTTAGTTCTAGAGCCCTTGTTACATATTAAAAACTGAGTATATTAAGAACTTTTCATTGATTATGATATTTTAATAGCAATTAAAACCATTTAACTCGTGTGTGGTTGTAGGTAAGCTTGGGCCTATATTTATTGTTCTAAGAATACGAATTGGTTTTGAAATAAAATTATAGCAGGCAATTTTAAAATGTCTGTGAAAGCTATAAGCCAATTTATGAATAAAAACTATGTTTTTCTTTCAGTAATATCACAAATTAATTATTAAATTACTTCTACTACTACAGAATTAAAAGCTAGAAATAGGTATCATACAAAATAAATTAAAACAAAAAAAAATCATGTTTACCAGGATAACTGAGCTATAATGTATTTATCATCAATTAAAAGAAACTTCCACATTTATTAAATATACTATACGTATAATTGCACTGTGTTTGTAAACAGATAAGCTCGTTAGTTATTAAGGTACATAATAATAATAAATTCATACACTGCGATAGAAAATCGATAAAAGAAGCACTAACTTTCGTTACAAAAAAGAACAATATATTGGGAATTTAAACAACTTACCTCTTCACGGTCAGCTGGTACTAATTTCAAAGTCCACTAAATAAAGTCCAGAAATTAATTAGAACTTTTGAAAGCTCAGATATTAATTAAAATTTCATCAAAATCCGCGACACAGCAAACAATCAAAATCATCTAGCTTGACAGATTTTATTTCTGACATGTTCAAATTTTTATTCTGTTGAACAAGCAAAGGGAACGCTAACTATAGAACAACAGTAGGCAGTAGCTTAGCTCTGCCCCTGTCATTGCTGAAACTCATGGACGACGGTAACCACTCATCATCAGGTGTGCCGTATGCTCGTCTGCCTACACCGGCAATAAAAAAAAAACTAACGGCCAGTCACGTATGTTTTATGTCAATTAGACGGCCAATTTTCAGGTATTAGGTAATCAAGGTACATAAAATCATTACGTACTTCACGTAAATTCTAAAAGCTGATTTTTACGTATATTTTAGGCAATATCCTTAAAAATAAGTCACCAATACTCCCAGACACTTTCCGTCGGCCGAATTGCTTTGCAGACGCTTTAAAGCTCCCAAAATAATTCACGTATTTTCTGAAAGCTGATTTTTATTTATGTCCACCAGACAACTATTTTAAAACCTCTTACAAAAAGACAGACCGATCCAAGGGGCCAATCGTCACCTAAATTCAATTTAATACCTCTGTGGGTAAGAGCGCGAGGGCATTATCCACGCGCATGAGACTGAGTGAGACATGTATTAGGCTAAATTGACTTCTCTCTCTATCTCTCTCTTACAGTTGACTCATCTAAATACCGGTCACCGTCCTCGTCGTACCCGTCGCTTGCGACGAAGGGCTCGACGAGCGAATTAACCCATAAAAACAGCCCACTGAGTTTCTCGCCGGATCTTCTCAGTGGGTCGCGTTTCCGATCCGATGGTAGATTCTGCCAAGCACTGCTCTTGCTAGGGTCAGTGTTTAGCAACACTCCGGTTTGAGCCCCGTGAGCTCACCTACACACGTTAGGGCAAAGTTGAAATAGACTCTCAAGGCTATCAGCATAGGTAGGAAAAAAAAAAACTTAGCTACTACAGCCCCGCCTATTTCCATTGAACTCATATCTTAAGGTGGGTGGCTGCATTTACGTTGTAGATGTCTATGGGCTCCAGTAACCACTTAACACCAGGTGGGCTGTGAGTTCGTCCACCCATCTAAGCAATAAAATATATATGCGTTTGATGCCTACTCTCGAAAAATGATTTTTATTTTGTTTTAAAGTTTGGACTAATGGACTCAGTAAATAAATATTATTGTACCCAATAAGATCAATAAACCATTGTTGATTTATTTAATGATTTATTTTTGTTTATGAATTAAAAATGTTTAGGAATTAAAAATGGTAAACACTTAACACCAGGTGGACTGTGAGCTCGTCGAACAATCTAAGCAATAAATAAAAAATAGTGAATAATTTAATATAAATAATTCCTGTTTTATATATTGATAAAATAAAGGTATGTAGAATTTAGTATAAATAAACCACTCAATCTTTCAGTTAGCTTTCAGACTGCTGGGTCGAAACTAGTCGAAGAACGACAATCCAACACCCAGTCACTCTTTCGCAAGGGGCATCTAGATTAGTTTTCACTTAACTATCTTGGGTTTCGCTCACCGATTCTAAAACCGTCATGTAAAGGGAACTCAAAACACTTAAGGAACCAGGACTCAGTCAAGATTGAAATCTTGGCAACAGTTCGGTGCGGAGAGAAGAGCGCTCTCCCGGCAACTGCTTCTGCAAGATGATGCACTCGTTATAGTCTAAGAGATTTAACCACCACGCTTCACCACTGTCCAACACCGTGGTACTCACTCATGATAAATGCATTTATACATGAGATACGAGGCAAATCAGGAGCTCAGCCACGTCCAAGTGGCATCCTACCTATAATTCTAAACTTGGATGAGTACCTAATAAAAATAAATAAAAAATAATCAAACCCCTTATAACTTCATTCTTATATCTTTTTTTTTATTGTTTAGATTTTTTTTTTTTTTTTTTATTGCCCTTGTAGGCAGACGAGCATACGGCCCACCTGATGGTGAGTGGTTACCGTCGCCCATGGACTTCAGCAATGCCAGGGGCAGAGCCAAGCCGCTGCCTACCGCCTACCTATGGGTGGACGAGCTCACAGCCCACCTGGTGTTAAGTGGATACTGGAGCCCATAGACATCTACAACGTAAATGCGCCACCCACCTTGAGATATAAGTTCTAAGGTCTCAAGTATACATAGTTACAACAACCCTTCAAACCGAAACGCATTACTGCTTCACGGCAGAAATAGGCAGGGTGGTGGTACCCACCCGCGCGGACTCACAAGAGGTCCTACCACCAGTAATTACGCAAACTTTAATTTTGCGGGTTTCATTTTTATTACACGATGTCATTCCTACACCGTAAAAGTCAATCGTGAACATTTGTTGAGTACGTATTTCATTAGAAAAATTGGTATCCGCCTGAGATTCGAACACCGGTGCATCGCTCAACACGAATGCGCCGGACGTCTTATCCGTTAGACCACGACGACTTCAAATATCTCAAGGATGGCAGCATCTACGTTTTCGCTTTTAGTTAGCGGTTTATGCACTCACTACGATTACGTAGAGCGTAACGTTTTATGACCATCTTTCTTCTTCTATATCGCTCCCTCACTACTGAGGATCGCGACCACATGCGACGTACTTCCAATGTGCTCGATCATGGGTGGCATGGACTGCATGGTACAGACTACCACCGAGTGCTTCTCTTGCTAGATCTGACCATCTGGCTGGTGTTCTGCCCACGGCACGCTTGCCCTCTATGCGACCCGTTATTATGAGCTTCTCTAATTCGTGTCTGGGAGACCGCATGATGTGTCCGGAGAAGCTCATAACACGTTCCCGGCAGATGGAAGAGAGCCTTTTTCGGATGTCTAGCTGCCTTAGAATGGACTCGTTTGTTCTCATGGCAGTCCACGGTATTCGTAGCATCCTCCGCCACACCCAAATTTCAAGGGCGTCGATCTTTCTGATATCCCGGCTTTTTATGCACCATGTCTCCGCCCCGTAGAGGAATATGGGATAGATCAGTGCCCGCACCAAGCACACTTTGGTTTTATATCGGATGCTACGATTTTTCCAGATCTTCTCGAGATTGGCCATCGCACTTTTAGCCATACCGGATATTCGGCGTATCTCCCCGTGCAGCCACCCTCGGATGTTATTTGCGAACTAAGATATATGAATTCCGCTACTTTCTCGTAACCACTGAGTGCATCAGAACGTGGAAGAAGTTGCGCTCTATCTATTATCATTATTTTGGTCTTGGAGTGGTTGATTTTAAGACAGAGTTTAGCACTTTCTTCTTCCACACGGTTCAGCAGAATTGCCATTTCCTCTTCATCGGATGCAAGCATGGTAGTATCGTCAGCGTATCTCAAGTTCGTGAGTGTTTCACCGCCCACGGAAATACCGCCGTTCCAGCCTTCAAGTGCTCTTCTCATTATATATTCGCCGTAGATATTAAATAATTTGAGTGACAGAATGCAGCCCTGACGCACTCCACGTTCTGTATGGAAGGGTTTAGATCTTCGATGACCATCTTTAATAATACTTATATACTTCGTCGTAGCCTGTTAAGCCATTGCCGTAATTTACAAATAAATCCAGTTTTTAATTAAGCCAAGCTTATGTGTAGGTAGGTACATAAAATCCACAAAGGTATAAGAAAATGCAAATAAACGTATTTATAAATAAGGAATTTTAATAAATTTAATTTCGCATCACATAACTAATTCTCTTGTTCTAACAAAGATTCACCATGTGTTGTCTTAAAGCGTTTATAAATAACTAAATTGGTTTAACCGATTTTCTTGAAATTATTCACTTGAGCGCTTTTTCATATCTCTGAGATATATCATTCCAGTTGGCTACATCGAAAATAGCTTTCACGTAGTCGGCACGAACGTTTTTGTACTGAAGATAGTACGCGTGCTCCCATACATCGATTCCGAAGAGCGGGACCAATCCTAAACAAAAATGAATCATTAAATAAATCAACAATGGTTTATTGATATTATTGTGTACAATAATATTTATTTACTGAGACCATTAGTCCAAACTTTAAATCAATACAAAAATCATTTTTTGACAGTATGCATCAAACGCATATATACCTAGTCAGGTCATAAATTCTGTCACATGTTTAATGTAAAATAATTGAAACAAGTTTATTCAGTAACCATTCATATACCAAAATGAACTTAACAAAACATAGATTCTTATGACACTAAAGTTTATTCAAAATGACCTCCGTGATTTTGAATATAGGTCTTCAATCTGCGCGGCCAGTCGTCTATCGCAGCACGAACGAGGTCCATGTCAATATCGGCGGCTGCCTTAATCAAGGATGTCTTGAGTGACTCCAAATTGGGATGAGGCTTTGAGCACGCCTTTTCCTCCAAGTGTTGCCATATCTTGTAATCTAACGGATTCAGATCTGGACTGGATGAGGGCCAGTCTTCGTGCCGGATGAAGTCGATTTCACGCGCCGCCAGCCAATCTTGTGTGCTCTTCGCTCTATGAGCTGGCGCCGAATCTTGTTGGAATACCCAGTGCCTGTTATTGAACATGGTATGAGAAACAGGTTCCACAAGGTTCGTCAGGACTGTATTTTGATACACAACTGCATTCGTTTTTACACCTTTCTCACAAAAATGTACCTCTGTTAAGCCCCAATAAGAAACTCCCAACCATACCATGAGCGAGGATGGAAAATGACCTCGTTGGACACGCGGAATACGGTTGCTCGCTTCTTCA